ATGCTTGCTCACAGGCTGTTTCTTCCTCCTCCATATGCAAATGCAGTATAGTTTCTGAATTGTTTAGTTCTATGAACAGAAAAGATTTTAGGGAAAAAAAACTCCAACACATTAGGATTAGTGTAATATTTTTGAAACCATCAGTGATTCAGTAGCCAATTTCCATTTATACACAAAACAGTTACCTATTCGAAGCAGGACAAAGGCAGCGAACAGCTGCACTGCTCCTAAAGCAGTCTTTACGTAGGAACACGTTGATAATTTAAAGCCAATTTATCCCTAATCTACTCTGAAATCTCTAAATTTAAGTCGGTTCAGAAAACAAAAGATTACTCCTTAACTTAGTTGCATAATATAATTCTTCTTTCTCAGATATAATTTAGAAAATCCTAATACATTTACACAAATAGGATTAATATTATTTACTGAGTGGCACACCCAACTGTCCAATCAAAGCATGTACCTTTTTGAGCATGAATATTTAATACTTATTTTTTAGTTTGTCTTAGATTTTATGCTATAGTATAGAGAGTTTCACTTCCAGCTTTCAGGCACTCAAGGCCTATTTTTTGGCAGGGGAGGGGGGGGCGGCGGGGGTTCTTTCTGGTTTTTACTCCGAACTATTTTTTTTTAATGGAAGTCCTCAAGAACCTTTCTAGTCTAAATGTCCTCAGTCACTCCATAACCATTGAACACCATTTCATCAAACATTGAAAGAAGTGGAGTCCCAAAGGCTGAACAAATAATTCATTGGATAATAGCAAGGGAAAATGTTTTTCCCTCATTTATTTCATTAACCAAATTATTGCCTGTTTTAAAGTTATAAACAGAGGGTGGGAGGGGGAAATGAGGAGATGTTACTGAATGGGTATGAACACCCAGTTAGAAGGAATAAGTTCTAGTATCTGATAGCAGATTAGAACGACTACAGTTAATAACAGTGTATTATGTATTTCAAAGTAGCTGCAAGAGAGGACTTGAAATGTTCCCAAGGCATAGAAACAATAAATACCCCAGGGGATGAGTACCCTGATTACACACTCTATGTTTGTAAGTAACAAATACACGTACCCCATACTTGTGTAAAATATCACACATCACTACAAGAAAACAAGTAGCCCAAATCAACCATTAACATTCAACCATTCATACGACTGACTTTGCTCCATCCAAATATTATAATTTACTCAAACATTTCAAAATAGGAGAAGCTCTCCTGGGCCATTCCAGGGGTTTATATTATGTGTACAACCAGTGTCCTTAATCCCTCATGGTCGCTTTAAGTGTTTGAAGCTATTAAAACAGTTGAAATGTTGGCAATGCTAAATGCGGTTACAGGAACAGTATGGAAACTTGTATTAAACATTTGATTGTTATGCCTTTTTTTTGTGTGTGGAGGGAGCTTGGAATAGCACATTGACACATGGACAATCGCCAGTGACTAGTGTGCAATCAACGTGAACACGTTTCGATCGTCAGTAACGAAATGAAGCTGGCCCTCCAGCTGCCATTTTCTAGGCCTGCCACACCAGACACCAGGACTTAACTCCTGCCCACCCATCAAATTACATTCTCAGATTTCGCATGCATTGTAGAGAAATATGTAAGAAAGGAAATCGTTTAAAATCACAATATTATTGTAGACAGACAATGCCCTGAGTGAAATCACACGTGGGACTTCAGACAGGGCCCTAAGCCGGCTAGAGAAAAGAGGCAAGTCATGAACATTTTACAGTTTTACGTGAGAGGTTTGGAAGCCTTGCTCACTATTCAATGATCTACCTTGTCCATTTTCAACACATGGCAATAATTAGTGTGAGATTGTACTTTTAAATAGAACCAAGAATGCAGATGAATGTAGGTTTGTAGCACGGACTCACATCCATTCCAAAATCCTACCAAAGAGCTATTAAAGTATCAAGCCTTCAAATTTTAACCTTTGTTGTTAGCTACACAGACATAATAATATGTGTATCAAGCCACTTACACCTATGTAATTAATTGAATTTGGGGATACTTTTCGAATTTTCACAGTGAACCGAAATGAATGGTGGGCACGTCAATACTTTTCGGTGACTCAGGCTCAAATGTGATGGTTAAAGAATACATCCCACTTCGACATTCATGCTGAAGCCAGCAACAATTGTCCGTGACCTTTAACACGCCTGCTCTCCGGATCAGCGCAGATCCTTAGTCACCCGGAGCTTTCATTTTAGGACTCGCGGATCCTTCATCGCAGAGGTTCTCGCCTGTCTTTGCAGCTGACTCCTCCTCCCCAGCCCGACACACGGACACACACACACACCCAGAAACATCACACGTGCAGAATGGCCCCGCGTCCGATCGCCAGCGTTCGGGCACAGGCGCCTCCCTTTGCAGCGCGTCCGGAGTAGTTTCTTTTGTAAACGCCCTAAGTTGGGGAGGGCCGCAGGCTGCCAGGGCGGCAGGAGAGGGGCGCAGAGGGAGACGCCGCCGCGGAGGTAACCGCCGGGATTGCAGCGCCGATTGCCGAGCGGAGCCACGTTGGGCGTCTTGGACGGAATCCACCTCCACTGCGGAGTTATCACGAGGAGAAGGAGAACAATATGGCCAGGAGCCTGGTGGGAGAAGACAGTGTTACCCTCCGCAGGGCAGGCCGCAGCTCCCCGGGTCTACGTCACCGGCGGTGAAGGGGCGCTCGCCCTCGCGCGCTGCGACCCGCCCCTCCAGTCCCCTCCCGTCCCCTCCCCTCCCCCGCCCGCGCGCCCTCCCTCCCCTCCCCCGCCCTGTACCAGGAGCACATTTGGAGTCACATTAGGATTTCTAGTCCCAGACCCAACTTACGACAACTAACTACTGCCCGTGGGGAGCAGGCGAGGTGAAGAAATGAAGTTTTAAGAACGGAAAAATAAGAGTTGAACTTTCAAGGCTGCCAGTAAACAGCCCCTTCATTTTTAAATGACCATGTGGCAGAGCCGCTGTTGAAAGTCCTTCCAGCAGGACCTCTGTGACCCTCGATTCAGGACTTAATGTATTGACCCAGCATCCGAACACCCCCAGAGGCGTCTACCAGGAAGTTGGGTGAAACGCACACGCCACGCCGTGTGTCATGCACACGCACCTAGGACCCCCGAAAGGGTGTCCCCGTCTCCGTCAGGGCGGGGCGCAGTGCCCAGGTGCCCGCCGGCGGGACCCGCATCCCGAGTACGCCTGCACGTATGGATGCGCGTGTGCGCGCGGAAACGGCCTCCGGGAGCCGGAGCTGCCGCAGCCTTAGACCTTGACTAGGGGTGACCACCGGCCGCTGGGATCGCGGTTCGGTGCTATTAGGGGAGGAACCAGCTGTGTCTGAGTCACTGCGAGCCTCCAGACTGTCCCCGCAGTGTGGCAGAACTTTGTGCTGATGAGACAATAGTGGAGTGTGCGTTTCCTACAGGGCAGACCATTCCCGGGCTGGGGGAAGCCTCCGGCCTGCTCCGGGCCGCGGGCGCCCGGCCCCCTCCCCGCGCCGCGCAGCCCCCCGAGCCCAGCCGGCGCCGGGGCCCCCGCGGGGCCGGCGCGTCCGGGGCGCGCGCGGGCGGCGCGGGGAGGGGGCCGGGCGCGTGGCGGGCCCCGCGCGCCCTCGCGCGTCCCCCGCGCCCGGGCGCAGCTGGCGCGGTCGGTCTAGAGCAGCGCTCGGCTCCGCGCCGCGGGCGCTCGGCTTCACCTTCAGATGCGCGGGGCGTGCGCGTCCTGCTCCCCAGGCACGCCGCCTCCCCGCCAAGGTAGGGGCCGCGGGCGGGGGGAGGGCTGCGCCTCAGGGGCCGCTGGCAGGCGGTGGGCGCGGGGCCCGGAGCCTCGACGTGCCCGGGATTCCCGTGTGCGCCGCTGGGGGCGGGGGGGGGAGGCGCCGGGGAGGGGGTGCGCCGGGGAGGGTCTCCCCGGGCGCGGGGAGGGCTCCTTGGCTTTCCCTGTGGGTAGTTGCTCTGCTCTGCAATTCCAGGATAGGAGAAGATGCAACTTCGGGCGGCGGGGCGAGCGCCCGGGAGGTGGTTTTTACCGCAGTGGAGGGGCGGGGTGGGGGCCGGGGTGGGAGCGCGGAAGAGGCTCTGGCTTTGTACACTTCGTCAAAGGCGACGCGGGAGGAGGGGAGCTCGGATGCGCTCTCCATCCATTAGGAGACAAAGAGCAAATTGCCTTACTTTAAAGTAAAACGCTCCGGCTAATGAAGGTGGGTGATGGGGCTGCGGGCCTGAGGAGCCGCTTCAATTATTAAGGGTTTGGCGGATGGGATCGATGCCTGTGGGCACCGAGCGCTGCTGCCTAGGGGACGCGTTTGCCGAAGGGGGGTGGGGTGGGAGGGGGCTTGTTTTTCACAGCCCCCTCCCCGGCTGCTTGCCAGTCTGGTGGGAGCTTCTAAGTGACCCTAACGTTCAAGAAGTGAGAGGTCCTGGAAGGGAAGTTCAGGCGGGGGTGGGGGTGGGGGCGAGGGTCTGGCACGGACTCGGAGAGGGGTGGGCAGGGACTCCTTGGAGCTGTGCCCCGCCGGGTGCGGGTGGGGGAGGCCTCGGTGGCGAGATGAACCCGGGTGTATGAAGGAAGAATGCGGTGGGGTGTGTGTGGTTGGGCGGGAGGTGGGGGAGGCGCCTCCGCTGCCATTTCCAGGGAGAACTAACAGACTGGATAGTTACGATCAGTATTTAGATTAAACCGCCTCGTCAAGTTTTAAAGAAACTTTGTATGAATAAGTTTGTTACCCGGCAGCCGAGTGGGGTTTTTAAAAGCAGCAGTCGATGGAGGAAGGCTAGCGTGTGCCGAGGAAAGCCAGTGGACCCCCGCAATTAGGAACCAGAGGGAACCAGCCTTTTACCCGAAAAATGTGGGTCTGTAAGTCAGCCCATCCATTATCAGCGTTAATAAGCTTCCCGCAGCCGCCCAGGATCAGACCGGGAGCTCTGGGGGCTGTGTGTGTGTCTTACTCATTCCGCTGATAAAGAGTCACTGGGTCTCCGGGTGTGCGAAGATCAACTTGCGCAGCCTTCTTTTTAAATATATCCATTCTGTGTTTTATTTAATCCAGATGCACAAAAAGCCATTTGCTGCTTCATTGTTGGTTTATATTTTTTTGAAAAGGCGACTGGTGTAACCTGTGGAATTTGAAATGCAAATAAAAGCCTGTGGGAGTAGAGGCAGAACAGATCAGCATTTATAAAGTGGAAAAGATTGAACGTCTTTGAAATCATTGCAGGGGAAGAAACTGGAGGGGGAGTGTGATTTTTCAGGGAGTCAATTGTGACGTCAGGTCTTTTTGGAAAAGATGTTATTTTTAAGGTCTGAAACCCGGGTAGGTAAAGTGCTTACAGGAAAAACAGATTACAAGATTAACATCTGTTAACATGATCGTTTATCTCCAGCCAAAAATAGGTCAGTTCTTTCTTAAGGAAACACGATTGCTGGCGCATGCCAAATAATAAAATCAAAACGACGAGTTCATAAATTAGGAACGAGTGTTGGTTACAATCTGACCTGTGAAAAACATTTTTTAATTTCGAGATCAATGGAAGGTCAAAGTCCCTCTTCGGTGTGGAGAACAACTCTTTCCCCTGCGTCGGCCCCCGGCCCCCCTCCCCCCGCGGGATGACCCCTCCTTCTTACTCGGAGCTCCCTTTCCGCCTCCACTCCCATCGTTAATTTCCCTTTCCATCCTTTGTGGAAGTACAAAATATATTTAAATGGTATCGTCTGACGCCTCCCTCCTTAAAGAAGGCAAACTCCGCGCAGATGGCTAACTTTCAGAGCTCTGCTGTTGTTTTACCATTAAATGAAACGGTAGGGAGAAAAAAAAAAAAAAAAAAAAGGAAACAGCTTTGCGAAGTGTCCCTGCCCCCTGGGCGTGAGTGACGGTTCTGCTGGCCAATCCGCTGCGGCTTTCTCCATCCCGGAGGTAATTTGGGATGTGAGTGTGTGTGAGCGCGCGCGCGTGCATGAGCCCATGTGTCTGCACACTGAAGTCTGGCCAGCCCCGAGCATCCGCAGGCTTCTGCATTTGCACAGATGTGTCATGTAGACGTGGACACGCTTTTATTCTAGTCGGTTCGGCTACATGGGCACGCAGCAGTCCCCACCGAGCGCCTCCCCCTCCGAACCTCCTGTGGAGCATGGGATTTAGAAGCACTTTCGGATTCAGGTCGGAACCTGCAGCAGCAGGGGAAGAAAAGAGGAGCGCTGTGATTGTTTCTCAGCAACTGGGGACTCGAAACGTGCGGTTTCTTTGGCCTCGCCCCCGGCGGGCGCGCCCTGATGCGTTTGCGGTCCAGGTGATGGAGCCCACTCGCCAGGGCAAAGCGAACGGAGAACGCGGATTGCGGAAACCGATGTGAACTCCGCAGAAAAGTGAAGGGCAGCGTGTGTCTTCCAACTTCACATTTTATTTTCTCCCTGGGAGTTGATGCTTAGTCTCTGGCAGATTCTGGAAGGTGAAGCGCTCGTGGCCAGTGAAAGTTCGGCTGCCTACCCACCTCCTGGACGCTACGCCCTGGCCGCGCCTGTCCCGCACAATGGGTGTCTTCACCGGCAGAGCGCGTCACCGGCCACCCCGCGCTTGCAGCTGACTGACTGTGGCACCGACTTTCCCAGGAATATCGGGAGTGATGTGTGTGGCTCGCGTAGTACGCACCTCGGCAAGCGTACGGACCCGACCTGAGCCGAGCAACATCTCTGCGTAAACGTTGGAGATGCGGTGTCTTCCGGGAGCACCGCAGGCTGGCTGCGCCTGTCTGCCCACCGGGATGGGGATGATGCAATGGAGGGGTTAAGGACCCACGTGCCCACTCCCTCCCCGGAGACCCCTGCAAGGAGACCCCTGGGAGGGACCTCGTCCACGCGCGGGTGTGCCCGGCCACTAGGCCGCACCGAGGTCACCCGAGGGTCCGTGGGCGACCTTCGTCCTACCCTTCTGCAAGAACCACAGTCGGTTACAAGGTAGTGTCCAACCCCTCGCCTTCCCTCCCACTCGGGCCATTTCCGCCCCCCGACCCGAGTTCCACCCGATTCTGCCCCTCCCCAGGCGCAGGGGCTGGCGGAACCGGGACTGGGCAGCCCCAGGAGGTGTCGTTGGATTAAATCATTCCTATTTCGGTGTGTCTGAGCTGCAGCAGCGCTGGGCCTGGGGCGCCACTGGGGGATCTGGGGTGCGCGTGGCCACGGGCAGGGGGCGGGAGCGCGGGGCGGCCCTGTGGGCTGGGGGCGGGTCGGGGGCGGGCCGGGGGCGGGGGGACTCACCTGCCCGCCCCGGGGTGGGGGCGGTGGCCGCTTGTTGCTGGGCTGCCAGGAGGAGGGCTGTGGGCGGGGCGGGAAGGGGCGGAGAAGCGCGGGGAGGGCCTGGCCCGCCGCCCCCGCCCCCCAGCGCCCGCCCCCCGCCCCCCGCCCCCGTCATGTGGAGTGGACGTCACACGCCTTCACTGTAACCCAAGAAGTGAAAGAGACGGGGACCCGCAGCCTAACTTCGCACCACAACAAAGGCGGGGGTCTGTGCGGGCCGGGGGCGGGGGCGAGCAGGGCGGGCGGTGGGAGCCGGCGGGGGCGGGAGCAGGCCCCGGAGGAGGAGAGAGGGGGCTGTGGGGGGAAGGGCAGGCCGCGGGGTGGGGGAGCCAGCGGATGGGGGTGTGGAGGGCTGGGGCCGGGGCCGGGGCCGGGGAGGGGGCGGGGCCGGTCCGGAACTGGGGTCTGCGCGGGGCTCCGGGCCGGGCCGGGCGAGGGGCCTGCGCGGCAGCGTGGACCGGGCTGGCGGGGCCGAGGCTCGGCGGAGGCCAGGTAATTGGTTTCTATTTTAAACTTCACTTTGTTCTGGCGGAGGTGGGGCGGTGGGAAAGGCGTGGCCCCGAGGACGATTACATAAGTGTTCACACCTGAACAGGTCCTGCGCCCGCGAGCGGATTTGGGGTGGGAGTTGGCGGTGGGCACTCGGGCTCGGGGCGCCTTGCGGGGGGTTGCTGCGTGCGGGTTTTGTGTCCTGCCTGTGTGACCTCACAGTGTCTCGGCGGCAAAGAGGCCGGGATGGCTCTGTGGACTGCTTTCGGAAGGCCAGATGTGCCCGTGGGCCTTGGGCTGGCCTTCCAGGGGTGTCCCCGGCGTAACAAAGGACAGAGCCCTCGGACTCTCCCGTCCACTCGCTGTGCTGACTTAGCCAGCAAGTCACAAAAGGAACTTTAGTGGGGGATCCTACTTACACATACAGCAGAAAGGCATTTCCCTGTCCACCTGCCATGCAGCCTCAAATCGTGATTGAAGGCGATTTAAAAGCTGAGTGATGTATGTTCACCATGTGGCTATAGAGTAAATACTATTAAGATAATGACCGGAGAAGATGCAAGGGTGGCTAGCCTCTCGAAAGAAGCTTTGTCAGCTTATTTTAAAAAACACTCTATTAATATGATTGAAGTATTTTGGGTTAGGGATATGTTACTTTAAAGAGCTAGGCATGCATGCTATTTGATCGGCTACTGCCATGTAAAATAAAATGAGCTCATTTTATCATTTGTTTGTTCCAGCTTCATTTTCACTTGCATTCTTTGATTATGTCGTCAAGTAAGTGTTATTTATATTTACACAGACCAGCTAGAATTAAATATTCCACATAGCACTATTGTGCTGGGTCTGAGAACCCCTTTCCCCCTCTTAGTAATAATTGGAGAGAGAAGTCACTCCGGAGGCTGCCATGGTGTCAGGGGTTTGAGAGTTGGGTTACTTGTAGGAGGACATCTTCAGTTTCACGGGAGTGACCCCCATGGCCATCTTGAATGGGCTCCGGAATGAATTGAGCTCTGTCTAAGACTCACAGATAATTGAATTTGAATTCTGATGTGTTAAGGTACAAGCATGTCTAATGTTTTTCTTAATTCATTAGTGGGGCTTTGTTTTCTTACACTTGCTAATTTGAATATACTGAAACAATCAGAGCACATTAACCTTCTAAAAAAATAATCCCAGTGGATCTGTAATAAAACTAACCAAGAGGGATGGGAATGCCTTTCTGAAATGAAACACAACACGAAAATAGCAGGTTTAGTAGGCACAGCCTTCAACAATGCAGAGAGATGGGAGTTCTGCTTATTTTTATTTCTGAAAGCTTTTGTTTATTAGAATAATTTTTCCAAACAGCTTAATTTCCTGAAATACATACACTAGGTCAAGAATTTTAACTCTGAGAGATGTGTCTGCTATTAATTCTTGCCACCCTGAGAATAGATTACCTCGCCAATGTTTTCCCATTGTCATTTGTAAACAACCTTTGGAGCCGACTCATTTACAGATTTCATTTTTTCCTGGAACCCTGAAGACCTACATTTCTAACTTTTTTTTTTTTTTTTTGTAAGATGTTGTCCCAGAGACCAAAATTGACTGAAGGGAATGAGAGAGGTCTTTGAAAACAGGTCACGATGTGAAAAGCACTTTGTCTCCACTTTCATAAATGAAACTTTTAACTCCATTTACCTAACTTCCTTCTACAAGGAGATATTTGAGTTTTGTAAGTGAAGCATTTGATATGATTAAGTTTAGCAACTTACGTGAGAAAGGAAAGGAGACTTCTTTAAAGAATACTTTGAAATGAGGTATACTCCAGCAGATGGTTTTCAGTCTTGCCAAATGGGGAAAAATGATAATATGACCTAGCAATTTACGTAGAGTTTAGTCATGGATTATTCTTGAAAAACCAGTAGTGAGTTTATTGGGTTGTTGTGGATTTTTAATTATCTGTTTTCCAGAATACGTATTGGTCTTATTCATAATTGAAGAGAAGGAATCTTTCAAAAAGAATTCGGTGGGAGTGGCTGTAAGTCTGACTGGAGACTGTGTTTAGAGTTTCAGCTGCATTATACCTTAATGCCGGAGAGATAGGAGGCTGAAATACAAGCTGACTGCATCGTGCAGCAGGGAGCTTGTCCAAACGTGTGCACTTTCCTGTATAATATGCTTGTTTGAATGTTCAGGACCCGAATTATTTTGTTTTTTACTCCATTTTCAATTGAGGAGAAAAGGACGTCTTAATTACCTAATTAAAAGTGGTATTTCACGTATTACTAGATTTCTAACTGAAGAAAGCGTTGCTATTAAGTGTTCAGGAAACACGTATCCACTTTCTCTTTGGTTTTCAAGTGACCAAATTTAACTGGAAACGTGTAACTTTCTCAGTGACAGACATGGATTTGATGATTAGTAATAGAACTTTAATGGAAGAAAGTTAAATTGATTTGATTAGGTATCTATATTGTAGATGTTTGAACTGGAGGTAACATTTCTTCTTCAAAAGCAGGCATCTTTCATGCTGTAAATGTTTATATGTTTTAGTGCTTGGCTAAAGCTATTCTGACACACTCAATTAGTTCTTTCAAAAATGCATCTCTTTGCTGTCCCGACCCCTCCTCCTCAAAAGTTCTAGAAGCTGTGGGAAAAGTTCAGCTGCCTGTCTTACTGAACGTAGTCCAAGGAATACCCGTGGGTTTGTTCACTGCTCGGGAGCTGGACATGTGCCGCACCGACTTCCTCAGCACATCCTTGCTTCCCTGAATTTGCATTTACTGCCTAACTAGCATCCCGCAAAAAGGCCTTTGCTGGCTGCCTGCGATTTGGCACCTTGGAGCTTCACTTGCAGCGTTGTTAATGGCCAAATGTGAAGGACTAATTTTATTACTGTGTTTAGCTCACAGGGCCTTGGAACCGGCCCCTACTCTGTTGTTGGGAGCTGCATCTCATTTAGATTTGTGTTTTTCAAGTGAATTGTAGTGTCAGGCTGTGCTTCCCTTGTGAGGTCTTGAGTGGGTGGTGGTTGGAAGACCTTTCCCTGTGTGTGAGAGGCACGGGGTGGGGTGGGGGGCGGATGTGGAGGTTCTCAGAGGCAGATGGAGGTGGGGGCATAAGCCTCTGTTTGTGCAGCAGTGATTATTTGGTGGTTCAGCTGTTTGGTTAGGTTCCCTTCGGGCTGGATGCTAACTGGTGGCATGAGCTGGCAGTGTAACTGCTCCTTTCACCCTCCCCTCCTGGGGGCTCTCATCCCCAGTCTTTCCACCTGACTGGCCACAAGTGTAGTGGCAGCAGCCTATTATCGGTTTGAATGTATCTAGGGGCCATAGGGGAGAGAGCATTTTTCAGATTCAAGTCCTGGCCTTGGTTCTCTCTGGCCCCAGTGAGTTTGGGAGTGCAGGACATTCTCTCTGATGGAGGAGTGACCTTTGCCCTCAGTTAAGACCGCCCTCCCACCCACCATTGGACAAGAACTGTTGAAATCTTAACATTTTCAGGAATTCTGAAAAGTCACAAAGAATTTCAAGAAAAGAATCACATCAAATGTTTACATTTATGAATAATTAATAAAATTAATCTTATGGGAGGAGGAGGAATAAAGAAAAACTATGACTTTAGAATATCCCCTTCTGTTCTGTAAAAAGCATCTTTATTTTAAAATTAATTTTCTAACACTGAAGAATATTTTAGGGGACTGATTTCAAAAGCTGTAAGGAAAGATACATTCCTAGCGGCTATCAGTGCACCGTTTGTATTTGCGATTTCTAGTGTCCACTAATGCGTGTGAAGGGTATTTTAGATGGACTGGTAAAAGCCAGCAGTTGCAACTGTCTGCTCTGCATTCCTTACTCTGCATCTGGCCACACGTGACTTGAACAGCTGAAGCTTCTTTTTCCAAAGCTAGAGCCATCATCGTATTTATGTGTAGCACGAGATGTTTTCCATATACATTCGAATTGTAAAGAAGTGTAATTTGTGGCTCTCGACATGCCTTAAAAGTCATTTCCAAAAAAGATCTGGCATTTAATCTTTAATTCACATGGTCCTGAAAATTACAAAGCAGGAGCAATTAGAAAGGGAGCTATTTTTAGAAAGCAAACATGTAAATATATGTTAAGTAATGACTAAAACACAAGCAGGAGAGTAGGAAAAAACTATTTTAAAAGCAACTGTAGTAGATTTAGATACATTTTACTACTGTATTTCAGCTCTGTTAACTCTGGTAGACTTACTTGGTATTCCTGTTTCCACCTCCCCCCCCCCCCCCACCCCACAACCTTGGTCAGGAAGTAAATAAAGTCTATAGGAGCTCAAAATTTACTGGGCCAAGAAGAGATACGTATTGTATGTAATTGTGAAATCCAGACAGTTCCTCAACTGATTGGTGAAAATGGGATGAGATGCGGGTGTATTTTGTTATTTTCAGGCAGAGGGAATCTGGTGTTTTTTTCTTTCAAAACCAGGTAGACAGTGTTTCTCACCGCCCTGGGGAGTTGCTGGTGCCGAGCCTCCGGGATGCAGCTGTCCTGTTATTTTCTTGCTTTTGTAGGAGACGGTGTGTGTAGAGGAAGATGTGGTGTTAGTTTTCAGGACATAAAGACTTAAAAATCAAGGCTTTCTATTAAAACTCTGTAATTTCTTGTTAATGGCTGAG